CCTTCTTGCGGCGCGCATCGTGTCGTTCCTCGAGTCCCGAGGCAACGCGGCGACGTCCGAGGTTCTGGTGTCCCACTTCCGGGGGTCGGTGGCGGAGGCGCGGATGCCGCTGTTCCGGGAGCTGCTGAAGCGCGTGGCGCGTCTGGAGCGGCGGGCGGCGGGGGACCGGGGCGGCAAGGAGTGGGTGCTCAAGGCCGAGTTTGGGGGCGAGCCGGCGGCTGGAGGGGCGGACGCTTAGCTGCAAATGTACACCCGCTGGCTGGGCCGCCGCTGTCGTGATGGGTAGTGGTGAGAGAAGAGCAACGTGATCCTTGACTGCATCCGCACAAAGTCCAACAAGATGTATCAATGTTTTGGTTGGTTGGTTGATTGGTTGGTTGGTTGGGGGTTTGGTTGGGTGGTTGGCTGGTGGCTTTGTTTGATTGCAATGCTGGTGCGGGGCAGGGCATATGGCGGTCAAGCGCGGCCACAGGAGTGTCAGCCGCAGGCAGGAGCGTTCGTTTGACGTGTGAATGTTTGAACAAAATTGCAGCGCTGAGAGAGGCGCCGCATCCTTTGACCGACTGACTGGGATTTTTTGAAAGTTGCGGGCAGGTTGATGCCGGCCCTCTGCTGGCGCTGCTGCGGACTTGAGTAACTCTGCGAACAGCACAAGGCGATGCTGTCAGGGAGGGTCTGCTTCGAGGGAATGGCTTGAAACGGCAACATCGGCATGCGCTGCAACACCACTGCTTGCCTTGTCGTGCTGGCATAATTCCCCCCTTGGCGTCAAGCGCTGCAGCAGCAATTTATTTCTTCAGATTTTCGTAGCTTATGCGTCTCTGACGCGTTGCGATTCGTGATCTCGATTCTCGCTCTGCACGATCTGCGATCAACCAACACGGTGATGAGATCGTCCTCGCATTCCACTTCTGATCCCCGCAACATGGGTCCTGGCGACCGTGACGTTGGTGCTGCTGGCAGCGGCGGCGGCTCAGGTGGCGGCGGTGGCAGCCCGATAGAACTGAGGCTGACAGCATCCAACAACTTCCCTCTCAAAGGTCCGACTGTAACCTGTGGCCTGTAGGGATCGGACTAGCCGTGGTTGCGTCAAGGGGGCGCACACGGCTGCTGCTTAGGCAACGCTGCCGCATGGGCACTGCTAACCTCGGCCGGAGCATGCCGCTCAGCAGGATACCTGAGAGCCACTCTGCGCACAGGAAAATCGCAGGCTGCGGCCCCCGTAAACGCGAGACCGTGCGTAGTCCTCGACATAGGTTTTTATCACTCACCCCTTCCGCCAGGCTGCCCAGCTATGCAGTCCAAGCGCCCCAGTGGCCCGGGCGACTTCCACCGCCTGCTGCTGCACAACCGGGCACGCGTCATGCAGGTGGGCGCGCGGCAGATGCAGCCTGGCTGGCAGCAAAGGGTGCTGCAGCTGCAAGAAGGAGGCAGCATGCAACGGCTTAGCAGGCAGCTGCAGCCAGCACATGGAAACAAAAAGAAAATCAGTGCCGAAACATTGGATATTGCGGCCGCCGCCGTTTGCTTATGTGTCGAACAAGTTGTGACTGTCAACCACCAAAACTATTGCCAAGCCCATGATCCCATCCATGACAACCAAAAGACCGCCTCCCTTCCTCTGGTACCTGTGCCTTGCTCTTATTTGAATCCGGCAACGCCACCCCGCAGCTGCTGCAGGTGTGTGCAATGGCCCGTCTGCTGCCGTGCTCGGTTTTGAATGCAGCCGAGTGCTGTGGCAAAGGCTGTCTCCAGCTGCTGCTATGCCCCCCCCCTCCCCATGCCACGGAAAGTACAGCGTGCACCCAAACTCCTGCTTGTGCCACACGTAGTGGTTTGAGCGGGGAGCGGCGTACGAGCGTACAGCGCGGCTGGTGGTTTGGGCGGGCGCAGGCGCTGATGACATCACCGTCTTCCGCAGGTAACACGAGGTCGTTTGCGTCTGCAGGTTGTTTAATGACTGGGGCAGCTCATGCGTCAGTTCTGCTTGCTTCATAACGCTATGTCGTCACCCTGCCCCAGCCGTGCAAGTACTGCGCAACATTGATGCACATCCCCCTGCTGCCCCAACCGCGCCCCCCGTCTGCACCGTAGGGCCCTGGCCGCGTACTTCCCAGCCCTTCAGATCTTTTCGACCCCAACAGTGTCTCAAAGCTGCGGCGGCAGCTCGAGCAGTGCAAGCAGCGAGGCCGGCAGCAGCAGCGGTGCAGGTTGCCCGCAACGCCTGGTAATTGGCATTGCATCACGCGTGTCAGGCGATGACATCACTACGCCCTCTGAACAGGTGCCACTGCAGCCCCAGGTGCCCCCTGGGCACCAGCTGCAATCGGCGCCACTGCAGCAGGACCAGCAGCAGCAGCAACCGCCGCTGCCACAGCAGCTGCTGCCGCAGCAGACGCAACAGCAACTTGCTGGTGTTCAACAGCAGCAGCTGCCATCACCGCCGCAGCAGCACCAGCCACAGCAGCACAAGCAGAGTTGCATCCAGAGCACCGCGCCGGCTGCAAGCCAGCAGGCGCCAGCCACGTGTGAGTATGGGGCTGGGCAGCCGTCACTGCTACATCGCGGCGCAGTGGATGGCCCGTCGGCAGGCACCCCAGTCACAAGCCTTGTTTTTGAAAGGGGCCACATCGGGGTGGGCGGCGCTGCAGCTCGGGGCGCAGACGCAGCTGGCCCAGAGGGGCAGCAGGCGGGCCGGTGGCAGGAGGGGGCAGATGACTCTGAGGTCGAGGCCGCAGCCGCCCGGCTCTGCAAGCGCGGGGGTGTGATGGCGAAGGTGGCGGAGATTGCGAGGCGCATGTCCGCAGTGGCGCAGTCGGTGGCTGAGCAGGTGGGTTGCATTAGGGAAACAACACAGGCGCAGCAAGCCAGAGTATGGGCAAGCTGGTTGCCCTGGTCCTTGCCCGGCTGCGTGCACACGCACCACAGCAAACGTTACAGCCGTCCCGTCGATTGTGCGTGCGCTGTGTTGGATGGACTGGCAGCCTGCTTGCTCGAGTCCTCTCGCCTGCAACATACAGTATCCCTGGACCTCTCGGTTTAAGAGAAATGGCTGCCGGCCCCCCCAACGAATCGTGCGTCACAGGGTGGTGTGCTGATGCAGGAGCTGTGCGAAGCCCTAGAAGAGGCAGCCATGGCCGACAGCTCAGCCGCGGACGCTGCGGCAGAGGCCAAGGCACGCGGTTTGCTGGGCTTCGAGGGGGGCCGCAATCCGCCGCAGGTGCCGCTGGCCGCGCGGGCGGCGGACTTGTCAGTGTGCGTTGCGGCCGCCAGCAGGGGCATGCGGGCGAGCGCCGCGGCAACCAGCAGAGTCGCGGGGGCGCTCGAAGCTGTCGCAGAGCAGATGGCTGCCGCTGCGGGAGAGAGCGGGGCCGATGCGGGCGTGGCCGAGCCGCTGTCAGGCTCAAACGCATGCTGCGGTGGCGGTGGCAGCGGCAGCGGTGGTAGCGGCGGCGGCGAGGTTGGAAGTGGGGTTGATGCAGCCGAGGGTCTTTTGGGAGCGATGACAGCGTGGGAATCTGCGGCTCCCTCGGAGACCCCCGCGCCAGCCGGCAGGCAGCCGTCACTACAGCGGCTGCCACCTGAATGCCCTCTGCTGTCCATCAGCGAGCCGGTCACTTCAGATGGGGGCGGCGGCAGCGGCATCGGGGGCGGTGTCACTGGCGGGGTCAGCAAGCAGCGGCCGCAGCAGCTGTCGACGGGCCGCGGTGTGTGGGGGCGCCGGGGTCCTCCCGGTCCGTCACGGCTGGGGCGCGGCCGCAGCGCGGCGGGCGGCTTTGGGGGCCAGGCTCAGCAGTGAAGCGGGCACTCGGGGAATGTGCGTGACTGGTTGTACGGACCAGCTTGCCGGGTCACGGGGACAGTTTGTAATGGGCATGGTGGGAGAATGGCACGTGTGCAATGGTTTTAGGTATCTGCATGCACAGGGGAACGCCTTTGTGAACCTTGAGTCGCACGCAATTAGCACGCACTTACTTCTAGGCAGCAACCTTGGCAAGCAGTGGTCATTGGAGCATCTGTGCCAGCCTCTGCTCGACAGTTACATTGCCAGATCTGTGCTGTTGTCACACAGCAGCAGGGATGGGTGCTAGCTGCTGATGAGCAGCTGTGAACGCGAATTGCATATCAATTTTGATAAAAGATTGCATGTTGACTCTGCACAATATGCACGATGTGCGTCTTACTCACCATAAATATGCAAAACACATCTTGCAGTGGATGCACATATGCAGCACACTGTTCATAATCCAGGGCCTCCTGATCACATGGCTTGCTGCCTAATAAAATGGCTGCCAGCCTGAATCATCCCCAAGCGCAATGGTGCTGGGTCTTCAAAGCAGCACCAACAAATCTGATGTCTTTGCCCGACGGCAATTGTTCCTGCGAGGGGTGATGTGCGCATGGCATGGCTCCTGCATAGGCACAGAATGGCACCTGTGCGGACCAAGACTACATATTCCCGGGATGACCTACTAGATCGCAAGTCGCCCATGTGGCTGCTTGCCATGCACCTTGGAAGGTGGAAAGGGTTGTCCGGCCTTCCCTCTTACCAAAAACAAGCTGGCGCGTGCTCTCAGCGCCGGCCACGGGGTTTGGCGGGCTGGGTGGCGGTCCCGACTGCTTTTGTGGCGCCGTTTTGTTGTTGAGGCTGGGCTTGGGGAAGTGCTGCGGACTGGGTGGCGCTGTCGGCCCTGATCCTCCTGCCGCATTTGGGGCCTTAGTGAAGTTGGCAATGGAGTTGCGCGGCGGCGCGGCGTTGGGGCGCGTCAGCTCGGGGAGCAACGGGCTGGGCGTGAGCCACTCATGGCTGGTGGCAGCCATCCCCTGGGTGCTCGGGAGCAGGAGCGCGGGGGCTACCGGCACAGGCAGGCGCTCAGCAGCGAGCGGTGCAACCAGCAGGCTGGTGTGCCGTGCCCTCACTCAGTCCTGGGCGCGTCGCTGTCAGCCCCAGCTGACCGCCCCAGCCGCATGCCCGACAAACACGTCCGCCCCATCAGGGGCAAGGGGCTGGTGGGAGAATCTCGCCCTGCCGCCATCCCTTCCCTTGCCGACTGGCGCAACGTGCGCCCGTCAGCCCTTGCTTGGCAATGCAATATGCCGGCAGCTTGCAAGGTAATCAGCAGCGCTGGCCCAGCCGCACCATAATAGACGAGGCTGCAGAAGCACTTGCCCCCGTGGCAGACGCCACCCCCTTTGATGCATGTTGGGCCGCATGCGAGCGTCTCGCAGACCTGGTGGGGGCCCAGGAGCATGTGCCGGCTAGGGATGATCATGCTACAGAAAAGGCAATGTGGTTGAGTGCTGTTAGGCAGGGGACAGCTGACCCAGCTGCATGAGCCCCAAGCAGCCCCTCCTCTAGCAGAAGCTACGAAGGCAGAACTGTCACAGCGATGCAATTGCTGCCAGCAACACAGAAACGATTACGAGCCTTTTGAATGATCAACGCAATGGAGGTCTGATCGACCCACCGCTGCATTGTTTGGGCAGGGCCCGAGGACGCCTTTGCTGAAACCAGCCTCAGTGAGGGGCACGACCTGGCCTGTGGGGCAGGCCAGGGTCTTATTCCGCACGTTGACTTGAAGCACCCCTGCTGAAGCAAGTGGCGGGGCAAAACCGAGGTTGCAAGACGGGATAAAGAGCACGTGCTGTGGTTTGCATTAATGAGGTTGCTTTCCTGCAGGTACATGTTTGCTCGTGAGGAGGCGCCTGGCCTGCCCCTTGATAGATACCGATTTCCTGGCAATGTCAAAGTACTGCAGCCGGTAAACAATTGCCTGGTCGCCACCCTCCAATCAGGCATTCCCTCAAATGGTCCCTGCATTCACAGCAAAGTGCAGCAAAACCAGCAGCAGCAGCGCACCTCCTGGTGTGCATTCCATTGGGAAGCACGAGGCATCCACCTTCTTGTCCCGCACCATATATGCGTTGCCTTGCTGCACCGCCAATGGGCCGGTCATGGGCATGCAGCGGCTCTTCTGTCCATGGATCCAGCCGCCGTACTCTGAATACGGCACCTAAGTTCGAGCACGGAGGGTTATGAGTGACATCACACATTGACGTAAGTGACTTTGCTTGCAACTCTTGGCTGGCGCACAGGTGCAAGCTTGGGAGCATCAAGTCGAGCTGAGGCATGCGAAACGCGCCGCGCAAGGAGACAACGCACTGAAATCATGTCTGAACATCCCACCTGGTCGTTTACATTGAGGCAGCTAGGAGAGCCAGTAAGGTCCACCTGTAGGTCAAGATCGGATTTGCACGCTGGGGTAAAGTCGGATGCGGGTGCAGGTACCAACAGCAAAAGCGTATGGACAACAGGTGGACCATAAAGTGATGCCAACTCAAGCGAGCACCAAAGCGGACAAATCTGGCTTTACTGCAACCAGCCATAATTGTGGGGCGCTGGTGGAAACCACACGATTCCCAGGTTGCAGCTGCCCTCGTTTGGGTTACCTTGACATAACAGCCGTCAAAGAACGACACGTTGCGGCAGGAAGTCAGCGCGACGTGATCATAGGTGCAGACGGGAGCATTTGAGGCGGCGTCCGCTTTTGAGCAGAAGAAAGGATTCCTCGGGTGGGCCTTGAGGTAGGCCTCACAGTCGCCCAGAGCAAAACTGCAGCCGGCCTGCTGGGTGTTGCATTCGTTGCGCAACAATCAAGATCAGGCAATGAAGACAGACCGGACCAACGCCGCGCTCATGTGCACATGCACATGCAGCAATGCTCAAGACCCTGAAGGGGCTCGTCCTGGTATTGCATTGCGTACGTCCCGCACCTTGTACCCCCAGGACAGGAACCCCGCGTTGTCGTAGTTCACGTCGTACCAGCCAGTGTCCTGCATGTAGGCCAGCGTCAGGCGGCTCATGGTGTCGGGGCGCCCGCTGTTCACCTGCAGAAGGTGGCGGCGGTGACGTCAGCGTCAAACTGCAGGGCCCGTAATTCCCGAGTAGACGGCGACATGTGGGGTTTGCAAGTCACGCTCATCGATAGGTAGAGGGAGGTTCCCTTGGCTATCTGCAATGATGCAGGCGGGCATTGCCCCCATCCCCCAGAATTTCAAGCCATTGACACATGCAGCGTGCAGTAACTTGCTTGCCGCACCCCAGGCATCAACCAGGAGAGCATGTGCAAGTACAAGCGACGGTCAAGTACCCAAGCACTCGCACAACCACCGTCAAGTGGAGGACCACATCACACCCACAGCGCACCCTCTTTGCCGCCAGCATGATGTCACCCTGGTACAGCCGCGCCTCCCAGTGGTCACCGGCGCTGCCCCGGCCCCCTTCTGACTCCAGAAACCCGCCTGGCATTGTGGGGCAGCCCGACTGGGCGCGCGCCTCACGAACGACGTTGGGGGTGATGATGACGTCGGCGGGCCTGCGTGCAGGCAATCAGATGGCACGAGCGAATTTTGCTGGGGATGTGGGGAAGGCTGGTGTGCGCATCAAAGGGTAAGGGCGCACGGAGGGCGTAGGGGAGGGCGTCCAGCAGCACCCTGCTGCCTGGCTGATGTACCAGGCCCCTGGCACAAAGCAGAAAAAGCATGGGAGGATATGCAGATTCCCGCTCACCTTCCACGGGCATCCTTGACCTCCCTTACCACCTGGGCTTTTGGAAGCGCCTTGCCAGAGCCGTCATAAAACCTGGCCAGGGGCAGCATGTGTTGGTAGGGTCGTTGGACAAGGGTAGGACGCGCCTGCTTGCTGCGTGCAGGGGCTTGCACGAAACAGGGGATTGCAAGTGCATGACATCACAACAGCAGGTGAAGTCGTCCCTGGCCGCGGCCCCTAAGTGACAACCGCTCCCTCGGGCATGAGGGGAGACAACCCGTGCTGATGCAGCAAAGCACCACCACGCCTCACAGCACATGGGCACACATGAGCGTGGGGGGTATGGCTATTTGGGCAAGCAGTGACAGCCTGGCAACATGAAAGCGGCCGCATGTGCGCGTCGCACCATCCATGCAGGCTGCTGGCAAACCCCAGGGCGTGCAGCAGCTCGTGTACCACGGTGTCGACTGTCCAGTCCTTAGGGATGTCAGATGGGCAGATGTTGATGGTGCCCTGAAGGGTGGTGGCCCGTTGGGGGTGAATTCAGGGTGGCAGAATCCCGTGAGAGCAGTCGTGGCGGGAAAGAGAGGGAATGTACAGACCTCTCCGGCTGTGACGTGTGAGGATGCTGTTGTAGATTCTGACAACACAGCCAACCAGAATGGTACAAGCCCGCCACATAGCCAAGCGGAGGCGCAGCAAGCAGCGCTGCCATGAAGCTGGCGGCACCAGCCAACCAGCTGGCCAGGGTCGACCACAGCCACTATTTGGCAAGAGTCATACAAGCAAGCAGCCTGCAGATGGAGCAATGTGAGCAGCCTGCAGATGGAGCAAACCAAACCACATTGTGAAGTGTGGCCGATGCTCCTCACCATCACTGGGCGGTGTGTCTTGAGGTCCATCAAGCAAGGCAGCGCCCACGCTCCAATGCCGAGCGTGGAGCACGAGTCATCCTGCTGGGCTGTGACATACAAATAGAAATCGGTCCGTGCCCCACCAATAGGACCACCTATGGCACAAAAGGCGAGTTTGGGGGCAAGGTGCGCCGTAAATGGAGAGGTTTTAACATGTAATCTCGGCACAACAAGGGACGGCAACACAGGTATCAGCCACCAAGATCTTCTGCATACACTGCCCTCCCTTGCCGCACCCTGTCGCCCCTTGACCCTCGCAAGCCCTTTGAACACTCACTCCTGAATCTCTTGCAAGCCTGGCCATCTGGCATGGCGCAGTCTTTGTAGGGGGCTATGTGGCTTGCATTGATGCTTGCTAGCCCGCATGTGCGCGACGCGCGCGCCTTGTCCCCTGCCCCAAGCATGTCCGGCTCGTGGCCCACGCAGAAACCCAGGCTGCCGTCCTGCCGCACCGCCGCCTTGGTGCATTGCGGCGCCACACGGAACGGAGGCTGGGGCGGGCATTTCACGCTCAAGTACTTCTGCAGCACCTTCAGGGCGATCTCCACGGTGTCTGTGAGCTTCTTGCGGAGATCAGCGGGCAGGTTACGCATCCCCTGGTACTCGGCCCATATCTGGATTGGGCCTGGCGGCGCGCAGGCTGGAGCGGCCTGCAACAGTGCCTGCTCCCCGAGCTCGCGGGCACGGCGTTCGCCAGCAACGTCGGCCGCAGCAGCATGCCTAGCGCCCTGTGCAGCAAGTTCCACGGCCAATGCATGACGCTGCATTGCGGCTGCCCAAAGTTCCTGGATAGTGCCCTGCCGCAGCCGCTGCCTGTGCGGCAGCGGCTGGGCTGCGCCATGGGTGGAGTCACATGCCAACAGTGCAGCAGCTAGCCCTGATAGAAGCAGGAGAGCGGTGAAACTATGACACATAATTACGTTTTATAGGGCGACCACGCACGGTGGCTGCATCTCAGCTGGCCGATCTGCAGACTGCGCCAAAGTTGCGCAGAAGCGCAGCTCTTGCACTTCAGTAACGTATTGAGAGCACCATATTCAGCTCCGTCACCTGAGCCGTGTTGCTTCCAGGGTCACCTGCATCACCCGATGAGTTACAATTTCAAGTTGGCCAGGCTCGGGGTGTGTGCCTTGATCTCGCCGACCCTCACGTTTGTTGGCACTTATGGCCGGAAAAGCGGCAGGGGCACAACTCTGGATTCATACACGACCATAGCTCTGCCGGGCAGAAGGGCAGGAGGTGGAGCTGTGGGGTCAGGGACGGCGCGATCATCGTGATGCCCATGCCATATTACCGGTGCAGCGTATTTGCGACACATGTGCCCTCTCATTCCCAAGACCACATCTACATACTAGTGCGGCAGAACATCTGTAAAGTGATTCAACAGACATCCGTCAAACGGCCAACGCTGCCACGTGAAGACCGCTTATCAAAGAGGCAGGCACAATCAAGAGGACCTCCGCAATGACTGGAACAATACAGGGCAGGTGGCCAAGAAGTCGGGGGCCAAACCCGTATGTACAATGAGCACAGTGGTAGGCCTGTGATAGTAGTCGTGGTCTGTGGTCTGGCGCTGGATGGACATGTCTGCATGGCATTGGCCGTCGGCCCATCAGGCGCCCGGATGTTTGAGGTGTGCCCGTTGCATTTGGGGTGGGGTCGCGCCGTCCAGAGTGTGTGTGCATCCAGGCGAGAGCGCCCTGCCCCAGTTCCGCTATATTCACCTTCGGCCTCACCCTCTGAAGATGAGCGCATCATGGCAAGTGCATGGGCACAGTGATGAGGCCCACAACCCATCAACAATCGACCAAGTCACGTACTTTGAGCATCCACTATCATTTTCATCGCGCTTAATTTGCCATACAGTATACAGTACACTACGGTATAAACACTGCAAGCACATGCCTGGCGGGCACAACAACCGCAATCATATCGGTATCAGCCTATAATTCGTCAAATAAATACCAAGCTTCAATGTCCGGGGCGTTGCAGCAGCAGCCGCTGAGCAGCAACACCCGACGCATCCTGCTGCTGGTTGCTGCTGCAGCGGCAGTGTCGTTTGCTTTTGGCCGCAACAGTGCATCGTGCAGGAACCGGCAGACGACAAGCAGATATTCTGGCATGAGTGAGGGCGAACTTCACGAAAAAGGTCTCTGGCGGAGCCCAAGGCTTGGAGCGGATGCCTGCATCGTGCGGCACGTGAAGAGCCGCGACACGTGGGAGGTGCTGCTGGTCAAGGTGCATGCGGCGTGTGCGTAGTCCGCGCACGCGTGTTGATGTGCTTTTTATCTTGTGTGCATACGCATGTGCATATGTGCATGTTCATTTGCACCTGCACATGCGCAATCCTATTTGGCACATGCATGTGTGAGCGCCCGGGTTGTGTTGTGAGGGTTTTGGGGCTGTTCAGGGCGGACCGCCATAGGGGTATATAATGAATTTTGGCCGCAGCTACTCGGCGCTGCACGCAGCAGAGGCCAATGACCCACAAGACCTTGTCCAACCCACCCATCCCAAGAGCCCGCCGCACGTAATTAACGCATGCATACACTTTTGGCGGCGTCCCCTAGGCATGTCTTATGGCAATTGTCACACAGCAAGTCTATAATATCGCAGGTCCACATGACAACACTGACCTGAAGTGATGCTTGCATCTTATTACTTGCTTGCCTTCCCTTTGGGGTCCTGTAAGCACCATAGTGACCAGGATAGTGACCAGGATCTGCAGCCAATTCGTGTGAGGAGGCTAGATGTGCCAATAAAAACGTTGCCGCTAGAACCCTTGATAGTCAGGTCATTAGCACGCATGCAGCTGCCCTGACGCAAACAATTTGGGGTGAACCCCCGAAATGTCATAGACACATTGCTAGTTGGCCCGGACCTCACAACACAACATAATGCTATCCCATGTGGACGTGTGCTCAATTTAGGACTGCATGCAGCATGCCGCATCTTGCCCCTTTAACTTGTACATCCCCCCTCTTGCTTGCCTGTGTAGCGTAAGAAGGAACCGCAACAGGGTGCGTGGTGTGTTCCCGGAGGGTTTGTGAACTGGATGGAGGACCCTGTTGAGGCCGTGTACCGCGAGATACAGGAGGAAACACACTTGATACCCGACCGTGAGGTGAGTTTGCTTGAGCACAGCAGCAAGTGCCGGTACATGCAGGCATTGGCTGCAACGCAAGCCGCTTTGTGCACAGCGGCAAGCAGAGGGGCATGCAACGAAAGGCATGCCAACCCATCTGGAGGGCATGCTACATGGTGTTTCAGGTTGACGGGCACCACAAGGACAATTCTGTCTATTGTGCTTGATGAAGGGATTTTAATCCGCAATTCTGGCACCATTTTGGACATTGGATGTGCGCAATCGATAGCGAACCGCATGGCCGGAGCTGCTTGGTTTAGTAACATGCATGCACGCCGTGTCAGCCACGATGTGAAAGCATTGAACGAATTCAACACATATGTGCCGGCCCTAGCATGCGCACCCTTGTGCGCAGTGCGGACCAGCATACACTCGGGGCCTTTGTGCACGCCTGCTTTGAACGGCGAACAGTGGCCCCTTGAATCCCTGTCACACAGTGCTGATGCTACCAAGTCATATCCCATGAGCCTGGATGGCTCCAGGAGCGGGCGACCTCGGGATCTTGTAACCATCCTAATCCTAGGCCTAATCCTAGCTCTCCCCCCCCC